GGCATCTCAGCTCTCCTGCTGCCGAGGGACAAGCCACAGCTTTGTTTGGAACCCTGACCCCACAGGTCCCGGGGGCAGCGTGGGCTCCAAGCTGAAACCTGACAGTGTCCCCGGGGGCTGTGCCAGCCTCAGCGAGCACCAGGCTGGCCTGAAAGTGGGTGTGCCTGCGATGACCAGGACTTCCATGCAGGGGCCAGAGCAGATCAAGTACCCCTCTCCAGGGGGCCCCAACAAGGACAACATCCAGGACACTGACTGGACCCTTGGGATCGCCTGCAAATGTCCACAGGGAAGGGCCTGTTCCCCCAGGGACCACCTGAACCTGAGCCGTCAGTCGGCCCTATATTTCTGGTGCAGACACTGATCACTTTCTCAGACTTGTGGCTGCCATCCGAAGCCGAGAGCTAAGGGACAGGGACCCCATCTACCAGTCCCCACAGATGTGTTGTCCCAGTGGATGGTGACCTCTGCTGTCCTGATGCTCATGGCCTGTAAGGCAGCTTCACATTAAACACAGCTTTTCCAGGCTTACAAAGACTGACCCAGCCTCGGGAAGGAAGGATGTCCTGCCGCCTGCCACCACGTGGATGGACCCGGAGGCCACTGTGCACAGTGACAGAGGCCAGACACAGACGGACACGTCCCGCGTGACCCCACTCACAGAGGCTCCCCAGAGACAAGAGAGTGGATGGTGGGAGCCAGGGGTGGGGCGTTGGTGCTTCATGGGGACAGGGTCTCAGTCTGGGGAGACGCAAAGTTCTGGAGACGGATGATGGGGGCGGCTGCACGACACTGTGAGTGCGCTTGGTGCCGCTGAGCTGTGTGCTTAGAGAAGGTTACGATGGTGAATCCTTTACCACAACTGAAGTAACGAGACGGTGCTTCCCAGGCGGCCCCCCGCCACGGTGGGGGAAGGGCTCCCTGCCGAGGACAGAAGCTCAGCTGTCTTGGGGGGAAAGACGCACTGAACGGCACGCCTGTGCTTCTGCTTACAAGCAGAGGTTCTCGGACCCAGACGCTCACGGGGAAGGCTCCCTGAGCTCCCACACAGCAATGGGGCTCCCTTCCCTATCTGGGGAATGCACTTCTTGTAGGAGTGCATCCTCTGGGCACACTGCACACTTTCAGGGGAAGAGGAAGGTCCCACTCACCTGGGGCCCGGGGGACACGTACTCAGGTCCCACTCACCTGGGGCCCGGGGGACACGTACTCAGCAGCCATCCTCTTCTCTTGGGAAAAGCAGGATCCGGGGCAGGCAGAGCTGCGGGAGGAGAAGGGACCGTGAAGCCCTGGCCCAGGCCTGTCCCTGATCCCCAAATCCTGGACCTGGACACCTCTGGCACAATCCAGGTGCCCCCCCCCCCACACACACACACAGTGTGGACAACAGAAGCCAGGACAGAGGCCACAGGCCTGAATGGCCCCTTAACCCATGCATGGACCAAAATACGGAAGGTCTTGGAAGCTTACAAAGTATACCAATTCTATCACGGAGGAGTCTGTGCAAGTGTCCTGGGGCCACCGAAATAAACGACCACACGCTGGGGGCTTAAGACAGCAGAGATTTATTCTCTCACGTTCAGGAGGCCAGAAGTTGGATCAAGGTCTCAGGGCCAAAGCCCCAGAACAGGGTCCTTCCTGCCTCTTCCAGGTTCTGGGACTCCAGCTTCCCCTGGGCTTGTGGTCACATCCCTCCAGCTTCTGCCTCGGTGGTCACGTGACTGTCTTCTAACTCTGTGTCTCTCTTCTTATAAGGACGCCAGTCGTTGGATTAGACTCACCCATTCCCATATGACCTCATCTTAACTAATTACGCCTGCAAAGACCCCATTTCCAGATAAGCTCACATTCCAAGGTTCCGGGTGGACACGAATTTTGTGGGGAACCCCATTCAACCCAGTAGGACCTCCCAGCCTCGAAGCCCACAGGCCCCCACCCTTGGCGCCTCCCAGACTCATCTCTGCCTTCCCACAGCCCAGCCGGCTCCCTGGGGCCCCTCTCCCGGGCCCCCTCCTTTGCCCTGGACTCTCCTACCGGACCACCCCAGCTCTGCAGCAGGAAGGATCCAGATGTGCCTGTCCCACCCGGAAGGCACAGGCCGGACTGCGAGCCCTGCACACTCCCGGGAGGCTCCCTTCCCTTCCAGGCTGATTCTGGTGCTGCCTGGTGGCACCAAGGACCCTCTCTCGCCTCTCTGAGCCCTCCGTCCAACTAGGCCTTGACTTCTGGGCTTCTGAGTTCAGCTCAGATGCTCTGTTTTAGCCAGAGCCCTGCTAAGTCACTTCAGCTTGAAGCCCCCGCCCCGTGTCTGATCACCCTGGATATCCGGCCAATTTCCTCCTGCCCCACCCAGGTGGCGGGGGTGGGGATCACCCAGAATGCCTGCAGCAGCAATCCTATCAGGTCTGTTCGGCCAGAATCCCCCGTGATGTGTCCTCACGGCAAGTGCCCGTCTGCTGACCCCCACCTACTCCCTTGCTATAAACCCCCACTTGTCCACACTGCATCGGGGATGGGGCCCAGGTGCACCAGAGGTCTTTCCCCACTGCAACAGGTCCTGAACGGGTTCTCGTGCTCTAAGGACTGTCTGGCTGTGGCCCTCTGTTAACAACATCCTGGAGCAGTCCTGCTCTGTCCCCACTCACTACACGTGAGCCACCAGCCTGCTCCGGGTGATGTCGTAGGCGTGAAGTCTCTTGTAAACGCAAATTCTCATGCAGACTCGTGAGGAATGGATAGAGGCCAGTTACCGGATACTTGGGACGGGCGTGATCTGGATTCCTGGATGAAAACTTCAAAAATCACCACCCAGCCCCGCTAATAGAAAATCACCATGGGATTTTCATGGGAACACCCCGGTGATCATCCCCGCAGACGAGGCCCACAGATGCACACGTCGTTACCGGGGACACTCCAAGGAGAGGCGGGACATTGGGTAGCAGGAAAGCCACACCTCCAAAATACTTGTTAATTGCCGCCATGGTGTTACCGCATCTGTAAATTCTTCCATGGTCCTCCCTCCAGGACGCGGAGCCTCCCCTCCCCCGCGCCATCCACGTGGGTTCACTCAGTGACTTGCTTCCAGCAAACAGTGCGGACAGAGTGAAGAGGAACTTTATTCGCGGAGAACCCTGGCGGACCCCGCCCTAGCCAAGTGATGAAGACCGGTGTCACTGTGATGAGGACAGGGCGCCTGCTGTGATGCCCCCTGATGTGACAGGACGCCTCTGGGCCACCTTCAGTGTAAGGTAACCTCAGTGTAATCAGGAGAAAACATCAGACGAACTCAGTCCAAGGGACCTTCTACAAAGCACCTGGCCACTGCTCTTGAAAAGCGTCGAGGCCACGCAAAACCAGGAAAGTGTGAGGAAAGGTCACACTGGAGGAGCCCCAGAAAACAAGGCAAGACGGCGAGATGGCGAGACGTCACCTGGGACCCCGGATGCGGTCCTGGGCCAGAATGAAGGTCCTGGGCTAGTGGAAAACCTGGTGAAATCTAAATGAAGCTTGCAGTCTGGTTAATATTCTGAACCAAGGCTGGTGTCTTGGTGGGTTGATGTGGCTTTTTTTGTTTAAGTTTATTTTGAGAGAGAGAGAGAGCGAGAGCGAGCGAGCAGGGGAGGGGCAGAGAGAGAGAGAGGAAGAGAGAGAATCCCAAGCAGACTCCACGCTGCCAGTACAGAGCCCGACGTGGGGCTCGATCTCACAAAGTGCGAGATCACGACCTGAGCTGAAATCAAGAGTCGGACGCTTAACCAACTGATCTGCTCAGGAGCCCCAGTGGGTTGATGTTTTTAAAAACGGTCCGTGGTAAGAACACTTAACATGAGATTTATCTTAACAAATTTTAAGCGTAGAAGGCGCTGTTGCTGACCGTAGGTACGACATCGTCCGGTGGCCCTCTCGCACGTGCTCATCTTCCGTAACTGAGACTTGATGTTGCCCAGCCCCTTCCCTCGGCCCCTGGCGGCACCACTCGGGGGTCACGTCTTGGCTGTGATAAATGTCCCACAGTGAGACGTCAACATCAGGAGAAGCGTTCCCACTACAGCGATGTTAACCCTGAGGTAGCACAAATCGGTTCTTGGGACAGGGAGGGGAGAATGTAGAAAGTATTCTTTTACACGCATGCAGAACAGAGGCAGATACGGGCATGTCTCATTTCATTGCACTTCACGGCCACTGCGTTAAGACTGAAGGTCTGTGACAACCCTGCATCACCCCGTTGGCACCATTTTTCCAACAGCATTTGCTCACTGCGTGTTCCTGGGTCATGCGTCGGTGATTCTCACAAACTCATTATCTTTTTTTAACTTTATTTATTTTGAGAGAGAGAGGGAGAGAGAGAGAATCCTAAGCAGGCTCCATGCTGTCGGCACAGAGCCCGACGTGGGGCTCGATCTCACAAACTGCGAGATCATGACCTGAGCCAAAACCAAGAGTCGGATGCTTAACTGACCGAGCCCACCAGGCGGGTCTGCACTCATTATTCTTATAGTTGTTACGGTGATCTGTGACCAGTGATATGACTGGCTGACAGTTCACATGATGATAAGCATCTTGGAGCAGTTAAAGTACTTTCAAATTAAGATATTTACATTGTTCTTTTATTTATATTTTTGAAAAGGTAGTGGAGATTTTTTTAACGTTTATTTTTGAGAGAGAGAGAGAGCGCGCGGGAGAGGGGCAGAGAAAGAGGGAGACACAGAATTGGAAACAGGCTCCAGGTTCTGAGCTGTCACCACGGAGCCTGATGTGGGGCTCAAACCCACCAACCGCAAGATCATGACCTGAGCCAAAGTCGGAGGCTTAACCGACTGAGCCACCCAGGCGCCCCTACATTGTTCTTTTAGATACAGTGCTAATTGCAGAAGGACCGGGGACATGTAACTTTTACATGCACTGGGAAACCAAACAATTCATTTGACTTGTTTCGCTGGGGTCGTCGGGAACCGAACCCGCAATATCTCCAACGTATGTCTGTACACATATATCTGTTGTCACAGGTTAATCTGTGTCCCCTCCAAATTCATACCTTCCAGTCCCAACCCCAGGACCTCAGACGGTAACTGTATTTCAAGATAGGGCCTTTAAAGAGGTATTAAGTCAAAATGAGGTCGTTAGGAATGGGCCCGGATCCAGTAAAACCAGTGTCCTTATAAGAAGAGAGGATTAGGACACAGACACGTGGAGAAGACAAGTCTGTGGTGGGAGCCCGTGCAGCCCCAGCACCCAGACGTATCTCTGCTACGTGGAGAAGACAAGTCTGTGGTGGGAGCCCGTGCAGCCCCAGCACCCAGACGCATCTCTGCTACAAAATTTTCATGGCGGGGGCGGGGCATCCGGGTGGCTCAGTTGGTTAAGGGGCCGACTCTTGAGCTCTGCGCTGACAGCGTGGTCTGTTTGGGTTCTCTCAATCTCTCTCTCTCTCTGCCCCTCCCCTGTTCACACGCGCTCTCTCTCAAAAAAATAAACATTAAAATTTTTTCATGGTGGGGGGGGGTCAATACCCACATGCTGGCTTTGATCCTACGCTATCGTCAGGAGACAGGCCAAGGGGGCGAGCTGGGTGATGGGTGGGTGGGACTCCACCCCGTTTTTGCAACATTGTATGAGTCTATAATTAAGTCAAAGCTGAACGTTTAAGAAAATAGCCGCCTCCCCTCCAGGACAGGGGGATCAGGGAACAAGGTTCCTTGGGGTGAGGCTGAAGGAAGACACCGGCGGAGAGCACGCTCGAGGAGCGGTGGCGAGGCACTCAGGGCCTCCGCGCACGCCTCTTCCAGAGACGGCGACTCCCTAACAAAGAGCTCCCGTAAAGAACAGGCACTTGTCCAAAGGCGACACGCGAACGACCAAGCCGCATGGAAAGGATGATCGATCTCATGAGCCATCACGGAAATCAGACCCACAGTGAGGAGGCCCCTCCCGCCCAGCAGGATAACTGGAGGCCACAGGACAGGAAGAGGTGTCGGTGAGGATGGGGGGGGGGGGGGGGGGGGGGGGGGGGGGGGGGGGGGGGATGGCCACCCTGAAGCAAGGCCGGCGGGGATGGGAGGTGGGTCGCTGTCCTGGAAGACGGTCTGGCGGTTCCTCAAATGGTTAAACACAGTTTCCACTGGACCCAGGGATGCCTCTCCTACCGTCTGCCCGAGAGACACGAAAACACACGTCCACACCAAAACCTGTCCACGAATGTTCGTGGCGGCATGACTCGCGGTGGCCCAAGAGTGGAAGCAGCCCAGTGCCCATCAACGGATGAACGAGGAAGCACAATGTGGTCCAGCCATACAGTGGAGTATCACTCAGCCGCGAGCAGGAGCGAGGCGCCCACACCCGCTGCCCTGCAGTCAGACCTGAACACATGACGCTCAGGGAGGGAACGAGACACGAGAAGCCACACGGGGGTGTGAAACGTCCAGAACGGGATCATCCAGGGACAGGCAGGGGGCTCGTGGGGACTAGGGGAAGGAGGGTGACTGCTGATGGAGACAGGGTTTCTTCTGGGGTGATGGAATGTTCCAAAACTAGACAGACATGATGACTGCACAACTCTGTGAATACACGAGAAATCAATGAACTGCATACCTGAAATGAATGAATTGGTTTGTGGACTATATCTAAATAAAGC